CCGCGCCGGGCGAGGGCGGCGCCCGTCACCGAGGCCCAGCACGGGTAGGTACGGGGGGCCGCGGCCTCCTGGGCCGGGCCGGGCCGGGCTGGGCTGGGCTTGCTGCTGCCTGGACCCGGCCCGCTCCCGCCCCCGCTGGGGCATCTAGCCACCTACTCCAGCGGGACTCTCCTTCCCCGACCTAACTGGAAAAAAAGGCCGCACCTGGGTCTCTCTCTGTGTATACATATATCTGTGTGTATGCGTATAACTGTATTTATTATGTATATGTGTGCGTGTATATATCAGTACATTTAGTATTTATTTATTTATTACACACACACGTGTGTGTGTATACATAACGAAGGCAGAGTACAGCCCAGCAGGCGCCCAGGGAGTGCCTGGGCGGTGAGCAGGGCTATAGGTGCCAATCCCAGAGGAAAACAGCCTTGCTGGATCGTGCACGTGTGCAGGGGTTGAAGCGCCAAGCGTTCCTGCTCCTGTCTGTCTTTCCTAAGGAGACGGAGAGGTGAAACTGGCTGTGCTGTGGTGAGAATGACTCTATTCATGTGCTTCTTACAGATGCGCCTGTTTCAGGTCTGTGATCCGGGTGCCTTGCAGTCATCCACCTTGAAGGACCTGTGATGAGTTTGAAATTTGGACCATCCTGGATTATCTGAAGGACTCCATGTATGAGATGTCTGCACCCTTTTGAGCTTCCCTCTCTCCCACGGTGGCACCTTGCACCTCTGGTTAAACCTGTTGTTCAGGTACTGTTAAAAAATGTTCAAGTGTTGCAAGATGAAAACCCCTTATCCAGAAAAGGCAGCACCAATCAGTACTGAAGCTGAGTGCCTTTTGGAACAAAGTCCATTTAAATTCTGTCTGATCTTAAGTCTGTAGGACTCTGGGCAGAACAGATGATTACATCTCATGAAGTCCTGTATCTTCAGTGCTTTGCATTCATGTCACTGCCCCCTTCATGGCTGATGCCAAAAGGCAAAGTGTCTCCCCATAGAGCTGCATGTCATTTTGGAATATCATTTCACCCCACATTACAATTTAGTAGACTTCTAATGGTCTAGAAGAGAGTGAAAGATTTTCCAGGTTTCTCCACACTGGCTCTAGCTCTCAGCTTGTAGCATGGAAAGATGGACAGATTTCTTTATAAGCAGTGACCCCAAAGTTGTTTGCAGGTAGGACAGCTCTGCCTGCATGGGTCAGCCTGTCTTGGTCTTTTCATCGTATCCTAATTACTGGTTTGGTTAAAAAGAGGATAATATTATGTATTAAGTCAACAGACACTGTCAGGTTAGGATTAAGTAACATTTACTGCAGGGAAAGCACAAAAGATTCTTGGAGTACTAAGTGTTGTTACTACAAATGCAGCTTTAAAAAAATCTGGAAAAAAACCCTTCAATGTGTATTTTTTACTGTATAAAACTTACAGATCCTTATAAAACAAGTTTTGGCCCTGAAAACATGACACAAATTGGAATGTATAGCTAGAGATTAAAAAACTGCTAGGAGTTACAAGATCACAATTTGTAGTTAAGAGAGTGTTGGTTACTTAGGGTATCAGAAAACTTTGGTTAGAATTAGATTTGTGGTATTCATGATGGCTTCCTGCATCCTCTCCATAAAATGAATTAAAAGCTCTGTTTCTCCTACCATATATGATTATACCAAATTTTATTTACATAGATGTGTGTGTATTTATATTAACTGGCAAGGGGATGTCCAAAGTTGGTACGTCATTAAAACCTCCGTGTTCTCTGTCAGTGAATACTCAAATCCAGTGTTGTCTCAGTTCAGCCTGCTTGATGGGGTTCTTCAAGACTGGATATTACAGACCAAGGGTCCTTCTCTTTTTTGTAAATGTAAGCTTTTTTTTCCTTTCTCATCTTGTTACAAATTCAATACAGTGACCTGTGTGACTTAACTGAAATACCCTTTCTTCTTTCACTGTTTTGTAACTTATCTTCAGGGCTGGGCAAGCTACAGGTACTTTTACTGCAGGTGTGCATGGTAAACACAACTGTCTGTTTATGCACTGTGAATTGCATGATTTGGGCTTTATTAAGGGAAAGAATTTGAATTTGATGCAATTTTGCATGGGCTAGTAGGTCACTGAAAGTAAAGAATATAAATGAAAAGATGCAAATATAGGGGAAAAAAAAATATTCCATATTTTCTACTTCTCAGCTTCCATACTTCTGCTTACAGACAGCTAGGAAATGTTCTCAGAGCCATTGTGCCTTTACAGAATACAGATACAGGGCTACACATTTATGTAAATATATTCATGCAGTATGAAATGTTATAAATAATAACTTCTGATATTCAAAAGTATTTTTTAATTAAAAGAGCCTTTTATATTTTATTCAGTAGCTATTGTAGTCTAGGGCTGAGTAGGCTCAGACTTCAATATTTAAAGGATTTCTCTCTAAATCTATGAAATGCCTGTGGGAACCTGGACAAATCACTTGCAAAAATAGCCCATTCCTCAGGTTTTATATAACTAATATAACATTAAGTAGTGTAAGACTATTTGCCAGGTACTCTGTGCTGTGCCTTGATGATGATGATGATTGTGTGTTCTTCTCTGCTTTTCAGTTAACTTTATTTTAAAAAGGTGTAATGTGTTTGAGGTTGTTCCCTTAAAATTAGACACTTGAAAGCAGAGATTTAGATAACTAAATAAAGAACTTCTCTCCTTGTTCTAGAAAAAGTTCCTGAAGTTAACACAGTTTCAATGCCTTTTCATTTCCCACTCTGGGCCTTACTTTATTTATGCTGACAATTCCAGAATGACTGGAGTGGGAACATGTGATCTTTTGCATATGTGCATATTATTTATGACCGTAGTGCAGAGTTTGCTAAGGGCATTTTTGTGCTTTAAAAGGAATGGATTGCTTATTTAAAAGAATATTGTCATAACCTGATTGTATTTTTCGTAAAAAATGTTTATACGTTTTCTTTTTTCCTTTGCTCTCAGTTGTGCTTTACAAAGCAAGTTTCTTCAAAAGAGGAAGAAGGTATTTCATTTCCAGAGACTGTATGTCAATTCACGTGTCACATCGAGAGGTACTCTGTTAGTTGTCCTCAAGTTCTTTATCAGAACATGTCATCACACAGCTGTACACTTCTTGTGACTGCCACATACCACAAAAGGGGATCTGACTAGTTTCTGCTCTGCCTGGAGACCTGTGTATGTGTGCTTCCATTTGGCAGTTGAATGTTGTTTCTTCGCAAGTGTACTAAGAAACAAATGCAAGCTTGAGGTGCTCTTTCAGAGAAGCGAATGATTTATGCCAGCCATGTCACTAGCTGAATGGGTTTCACAACCCTCTGACTCTGTGGGCCTTTGTTAGTAGTCACACTGGGAATTGTTGACCTGCAACGTTGATGTTGAGCGTGTTGTGTTTTAAGGTTTTGAGGAAAATGCAGAGACGGCATAGTAGCAACACTGACAACGTTCCTCCTGAAAGGTAAATCTTTTTCCCTCTTTTTTCTCTGTTTTCCTCTCCAGAAGGGAATGTTCTGATTTAAGTGTATGGTGTGTTTTAGAAGATGAAAGCTCAAAATTGAGAAAGGCATATATTTCCTGTGCATGTACTGTGACCAGGCTTTCTGTTTGAGTTTAGAGACAGATTTACTTTTCTCCTTCATGTCCGTTATTGACTGCTACCACCTATGGTGTTTCAGGTCTCATGATCCAGTATGGCACATATGGAGACAGTTGTCTTAGCATAGGCAAGACGCTTTGGAGCTCGAGAAGAGTGATTCATGGCACAGTCCTGTGGGGATCCTGAGCGCTATCAATCTGAAAGGATTGATCTGTATGAACAGAGGCTATTTATACTTCTGTTGCTAAGGTGTTTAAAAAGTCTGCTGGTCTGAAGCTCCCAACTACTATGACTTAGTATTTTATAAAGATTTTGAGTGATCCTTTACATCATCCCAGAATCTCTATCTAGCTTCATGTATGTGAATACTTAGAAGTAGAATACCTCTAATTCATTTCTGTAATTATAACATCAGCAAGGGAGCCTTGCCACTGTTGTTGTTCTGGTACTAAATATTCCCTTGTGCTTTCCCAGGGTTAAAGCTTGACTTTTTTTTTTTTTTTTCCTAAAGAAGAAACTAATCTAATTACTCTAAGGCAAAGATGGAACTAATGTGTTTCATTGCTCTGGCTGAGCTGAGATTGTAAATGAAAGATTGTTACTAAGTATTTCTTAGTGGGTTTGCAAGTAGACATGAAGCTTGAGGTCATGACTACTTCTAGCATGGTTCCATTCTTAATTTCAGGGAAAAAGGAAGACATCTTCAACTTTTCCTGCATGATGCTGCCCAAGCCTCAGTGCAGTCTGTGGGTCTTAAATCACCAGGCAAGGATGGGGCTTGAGAGGCACACAGATGTTGTATGGGCCCTCTCATCTGCAATGTAGAGCTCTCTGAGTCTGTACAAACTTGTAAGGCACTTCAGGATCTGTTTGAATGGTTAAAATGTATTCAGGATAGGTTTCTATTATCAAGTGCAAAAGATAGGGAGAGTAATGTCAGTTGGTTTTTATAAATGCTTCTGTTTTTTAACAGGGTAAATACATATAGTCAGTATGAGAGGCTGAAGGTTTTCTAACTGTAGAATGAAATGCTGTTGCCACTGGTCTTCACTTCTGTTAACTTCAGCAGACACAATTTCATCCTTGTTTATTCGTTTTTAAATATGTCCCTGATTAATTCCTTCCTGCTGAAAGCATAGTCATGTATCCTGGTAGTATTGTTCCAAACAATAGTTGTGTCTTTATCTGGAACACAGGGTTACACCCAACTTGTTATTTTCCCAGACATAAGTACTGTCACATTATGTCTCTCTGTCTTATGTATATATCCCTGAATTGTAATGTTAGGTGTAAAAGCCAAGATCTGGTCGATGAATATTTTGAACCAAAAAGAGGTGTGCAATGTCTTGTTGACTTGATTCCTTGCTGAAGCCTGTGGAGAGACATTGGGAATGGGGTGTAGCTATAAAAAGCCTTATTAGGAGTTTACTTAGTGGAAAGGTGTGCCCAGAGAGGTTTGAAGTTATCTCCAGAGTGAGATGAAAGGCAGTGCTGTGTGCCCTGTAAGATGTCTGGGGAGGTTTTTGAACCCATGGGAGAGAGAGGGTTAAGGGCCCTGTATGTGCCTGCATGTGCTGTCTCAGCTTGTGACCACTATTTCTAAAGTTAGAGATCTCTAAGGATTAAAATCAAGAGAGACCGAAGCTCTGCAACATGCCTTATTTGTGGGCTTTGCCTCTTGCTGAGCTTTATTTATTCTTAACTCTCCTTTTGCAAGTTAGAGAGGTATTTGCTGTCTGCCTAATGATTGTTCTACTTGTTACTTGTATTGCTCCCTGTCATCTAAACTTTACATGTATTCATTTCAGTACCACAGTATTGAGTTCAGGTGAAGAAAGCCTATTTTCTTTTGGTATTAGGATGAAGATATTTAAGACTTTCTTTTTTGTAATCTGGCCATAATCCAACAAGCTCAGGAAAGAATCAGTGCCAGATCTAATCCTGTCCAGTGCCCAGTAATTTGGGTACATCCATGTCCAATTTGCCAAGAATATCAAAATAAAGCAATTTCTCTTGACCCATGAGCACATCCTTCACTTACAATATGCGTTGGGTCAGGGCCACACAAGCAGCTCTCAACGCTTCTCTTCCCCAGTTGACTCTATCTCTTGGTGTTATTCATCACTGGGCAAGTAGTGATCATCCCTAAGTAAAGACAGAAGATTTTGGGGGTAGGTAATTTCTTTTGAGTTAGCTTGATTCATTTGTTTGTATATAATATGCCCTGTCTTGGTCATGCTGTGTCAAGTTACATGGGGTTTTGTATGTTTTTCTTTAAATATTAAAATCATTATAGAAGATGCTGGATTTGGTATCAGATGTATTTCTTTGGTTCCTTCAAAAGTAAAGGGGGTGTTTGGTAACTCTTTTTCTTAGATGAAGGAACTGGTGCATTTTGATCCATTCTTTAGAAGTGCTCTGTTCTTAGGAGTCTGGTTACTGGCCTCTAGTTCTGCAACTGTGACTTTCTAACAGCAAATAGGAGGAAAAGTATCTGTCATCTGGAGACCTACATATTCTGATAGTGTGTGAGAAACTCTTAAATGACTACAGTCAGGATTGGGCTAAAAGACTGAGATGTTCTGTGGCACTCATTTTTGTTTAATCACTTTTCTCTATTCTCCATCCACTGCAGAAACCGGAGCCAAACAGTCAGTTCTGAAACCAGCGTGGATGAAAGTGGAGTTTTTGAAAGTCTGAAGGCTGAAGCTTCCTCACCACAACAGCTGTTCTCAGGCCTGGCAGGTATTCCGTCGGGCACCATCACAGCCACGCCATTCCAGGCAGGTTTGGTTCTGGGCTCTTCGGCAGGAGGTGGGGAAGTATTCATTCAGATGCCAGCCCCAAGGGAGGAAGGGACCAGTCGTACAGAAGGAGCCCCGTTTCACCACCGGCAATCGTCCCATCATTTCCACCATGGCCATCACCGGGGCTCATCTCTACTGCACATGGCAGGAGGGGACCGTCACGGGCATGCTGAGGAAGGCAGTGACGAACAAGCTGGAACTCCAGCTCCAGCTCTTTCAGAGTTAAAAGCTGTGATCGGCTGGCTGCAGAAGGGACTTCCGTTCATCTTGATCCTCCTGGCTAAAGTGTGTTTCCAGCACAAGCTTGGTAAGGATCTATCCTTTTTGGATTGTAAGTGTATTAGAGAGTGGTTAGGAAGCTTTATTGTGCTGTGGTGTGTGACACATTTATCTGCATGACAGTGTCTAGAGGTAGTCTAGCATGAAGGGGACATATTCAAATGCATGGGATAATGCATTTGATAAATTCACCCTACTTTCAGTCCAAGCTATTTTCATCTGTGTCAGTCCCATCTGTTTCCTGTCCTGACCTGTGGGAGACCAGTTCTGTTCCTTTTCCTAATCTCTCCTTGACATTCCTGTAGGGGCTGAGGATGTTACCAAGGCTTATCCCTCAGAACTCTCTCTAGAAGAGATGGGGAGAGCTTACATTAGTGACTAGCAAAGGCTTCTGTGTAGCACAGAAGGGTGTATAGCTGGAGGGATGGTAGTTGTGAAATCAAGCCAGACAGCATCACCAGTTACATCTTACAGTTGAGATCTTCAGAGTTCCCTAAAGAATATATCTATCCAGGTTTCTTTAATAGTACCCGGGTATTTCAGCCCTTCACTGGTCATGTAAAATCTATTCATCTAATCCTCCTCTTAGTACGAAATTGTATGTGTGCCACGTCTGAGGCTCCTTACTCATTCTGGGAGTAGTATGCTGAGATTATCATCACAGGAAAGCCAGTAATGCTTGAGTTTAGCCCACTTACAGCTCTGCCAGTATTCCCCAAACCAGGTATTGATTCATGTCTGCAACATCTTGCTCTTTGGACCTGGTATCCTATATGGTTTTCATAGTGTGCCTTGTCCTCCATAAGCTGCTGAACTGCTCTTGTACTACTGTCATCTAGCTGAGTTCTGTTTGCATAACGCAGCCACAGCTTGCAGCACTTCTATTCTCCTTCAGCACAGAACTGACATTAGGATGGAGTGTCTGTATTGGGCTGGGTGGCAAGTGCTCACTGCAGTAGCTTAATTTTCATTTAGCTTGAATTTGAACTTTATGTGAGTCCAGACTGCCCTGGTTTAGTCACCTTTATATTTTAATTCCCAGTGCATCCAGAATATCACCCAGTAAATTTTTTTCTAAGCTTGAGATGCTGTCATCAAAAGGCTTAGGACTGAAGATCCTCCTGCTCAGCCATATATATACTGACAGCGTCTTTACCTGCAGGGATTGCTGTGTGCATCGGTATGGCCAGCACATTCGCGTATGCCAACTCAACACTCCGAGAACAGGTTGCTCTGAAGGTGAGTACAGTATCTTACTCTCTTATGTTCCCAGGCAACAACACTCTTTGTATACAAAACAAAGTCTATGTTGAACCTTCTTTTGCAATGTAGGGCTGAATGCTGTTACATGCATACAGATCTGTCAGAATAAGAGTACCGTGCTGTAATCCTCACTTCCTCTTCCTACTTCTCCCCATTGATGCTCTCCCACAGTTTCTATCCTGCTCTTTTGTGAAAGTGTCGCATAATAAAGAGAGAAAGGGTCAGGGATACTGTAATCTGCTTTTGGTGCTGCTACTGACTGACAGTACATCTTCAAGCACTTCTCTGCACCTCAGTTTCTCATTATATACACTAGAGGTGCTGAAAACTATTTCAGTAGTTAATGATAAGTTTTAATTTATTAGCATTTAGATAATGTTTTAGGATGTTCAGCTGAAGGATTTTGTAGATGTATTGCTTGCTAGTATCTTTATAATGCTTTGTTGATAATATGCTTAGTATATAAAGAAACAAGCAGATCTTTTCAGGTCTTATGATCTTCAGTGTCAGCAGAATACTTCAACAGCACTGAAAGCACAAGACTAGAATTGCTTTTTTGTAAAAATTACATGGGTGGCGCAAGTGTATACTTATATCTACCAGCAGCAGTAAAATAAATGTGATACAATGCTGAATGAACAGATAAATTGCATGATCATGTGATAGATTGCTGTTGCCTTGCACTTTGCACCTCTGTCTTTCCAGCAGTGTGCCCCTTAATCTGCCTGCTTTAAATCTCAGCCTAACATCCCTGACTGTTGAATAGCTACAAGGAGCTATTTTCTTAATAAATCAAATCACAGGAAAAATGCTGGGTTTTTTCCTCCCAGGAGTTAAATTTACTCACCAAAATTACACTGGGCCAAGACCCAGAGGAGGATCTTCTGCCATCCAGCTTCCGTCTATAATGTTCCATGTCTTTTGAAATGTAAAATTTGCCCTTCTTTTGACCTTTAATTATTTCTTCAATCAAAAACGTATGTTCTAGAACCTCCATGCATTCAGATAACATTCATATGTGCTGCATGTAGTGATGGGTTATGTTACATTTGATTTAGCTAAGTCTTCTTCTAAGTGACTTTGGATGTATTTGTAAACCACCCCTTTGATGAAGCGTCATTCCAAACAGGTGACAGCTCAGAATTATAGGACAATATATGGAACTGACTTTTTTTTAATCTGCCTGTCAAACTGCATTTTAAATATCAGCTGAATTTAGATGTCCCAAGAAAGATCCCAACTTTGAAAATTGCATTCTGCAGGGAAGGCTGTCATTTTCACCAGTGTATGCCAATTAATTTCTCTGCAGTTACTTTATTTGAAAAGGTTAGCTGAGTGAGAGCCATTTCTGCTTGTGTTTATATATGTCTTTACCTAGCAGCCTATTTCTGAGTCTTAGTCCTATGTAAATAAACAAATTACTGAACACTTAGTTGCATATTTGTGTCCCCTGGGTTGGTCTTGCATTTTTCAGCAGTGGAAGGCTCAGTGCAACCCTTGAGACTTTGAATTTATCTTCTCTGCTTCTTTTTCTTGCTCAGGAGAAGAGATCAGTGTTGGTTGTCTTCTGGATCCTGGCCTTTCTCACTGGAAACACCTTGTACTTGCTTTACACATTCAGCTCTCAGCAGCTGTACAACAGGTGAGCAAAATTTACATTGTACTTGATGGAAGCAGGTGATAATTGCCAGGGAGGAAAAGAGGGAAGCCCACTTTTCCCCACACTTTGAGAGGAAGTGTGTATACTTAAGGTATCTGCTGTCTTTGTTATGTCTTTTTAATACCTTTCAGTGCAGGAAAAGAATGTGTGCGTCACTTCTACCGGTGGACTATATGCTCCTATCAATAAATGGCATAACCAGGGTCTAAATGGGCCAGGGTGTGATGATGTACTACAGTGTTGCTGCTTGAAACATACACACTTGCAATTTTCTTATGTATTGAAGCAGGGTGGATACTTTTTTATAGTGGGACTTCTGAATTTCCATTTTGACCACTGTGACTGAACATAAAGAGCATGTGTTGGAAGCAGATAAGAAATTGACCCACCGTTTTTCCTCTTCCTGTAATGTTTTCTTTTCTCTTCAGTCTATCAAGCTTTGAGTGTATTACAGGAGATAAACTGGAGAGGAAATAGTAGTGTTTTACTTCAGTGTCCTCAGGGCCTGGATCTGAGGTAATTAAGATAGCCTCCACTTTCAAATTCTGACTAAAGAGGTTCTCAAATACAGAAAAGTTGGTACCTGTGGAATTGGTTGGTACTATCACTGCTTATTATAAAGCAGGGATTAAATGACAGATGGGAAGCAAAGATACAGAACTTAAGCAAGGGGATGTTAGTAGAATAAATAGGAAGAAATGGAGCAATATCAAAACTAATTAGTTGAGAAAGTAGTTTTGATATTGGTAGCTAAAACCGTATGAATTATCTTCCGAATAAAAATTTTATTTGTCCCGCTGAAGGGGACTTAGAACTTCAGACTGAAAATACAATGAGTGTAGCGTGCATCAGTTGGGTTATGGCTAGATGGCTCTTGAGTTTCTGTCATTTATTTTGTTGCCTCCCTGCTTCTTCCCACCAATACTGTCTATGGGAAGAGTCAAGGTCTGCCCACAACCCTGGTAGCCTTTGAAATTACCCCTAATGTATTTCAGTTTGATCACTGGAAGGCTGCGTATGTAAATGCTTCTAGAAAGGGGAAGAGATGAGAAGGCTTTTATGTGTGAGACCGAATGGGAGTGGCAAGCCTTGGGATACTCTGTATAGGACTTTTGGGAAGGAATCCAAGAAAAGAAACAGGTATGGCAGAAAGGTGTGAAAGCTTTAAGAAGAAATTTGTTTGCACCACAGGGAAACAGTGTCTCTAAGAAGGTGGTTAAGGTTAAAAGCATGAATGGAACTAGTTTAAAATAAAGGATAGACCATCTAAAATAAAAGGGCTTCAACAAACTGGGGCCATCCTACACACTGTTTAGGGTGTGGTTTATTAACAGTGAAGAGACTAGGCAACAGCTGCACTGAAAAGCCCTATTCCGGCGCGTGTTGTAGTGGTGCCTGCTGCATCAGGCTTGGGCTAGTGTATCAATTGCTTGCTGTTTGGGGACCTGTGACTATTCATGAGGCAGGCTTGTGAAATTAGAAATAGCTGCTTCAGTTTTCTTTCTTTCTGGCTTATTTTTCATTTCCTGATTTATTTACTTTTTGATTGTTTCTAGTGCATGAATAGTAGTAAAGTCTCTGATTCTGTTTCTGTTTTTAGGGTATAATTTTACCTGTTGTGCTGTGCCAGTGTTGTGAGTATTTTAAATTCATGTTCAGGCTTTTCATTCTGGGTTGGTTATTTTACTTTTGCTTTTATTTTTTTGTTAAGTTTTTGCTTTCTACCATTAGGCTATAGTAGGTAAATATCCTGAAGATGAATCCTGGTTTTTCAGTCTGAATAGGGTCCAGTCCTCATTGCTGCTCAGGTCAGTAGCTCCTGCCCATTGCTATATGAAGTTCTGCTGTCCTGGACTCCCCTTCTTTAAAGAGCAAATGTTCAGCCCAGTCAATAACATTATGTAAGGGGCACTACCTTTTTGGATCTTTGGTTCAGGTAAGAGTTGCTAATTAACACAGCCCAGCTCTAGTTCTGCTTCAGACAGTGGCAAGCCACTGTCAGAGCATGACACACCTGAAGTTCTGACTTTTCTGCCATGCCTAATACAGTGCTTTCTTTCTCACCGGTTTGTTTCACATGCACAAGTAGCTTTAGAGAGTGCTGCCCCAGTGGCAAGTCAGCCTCACTATGTCCTACATAGTGGTCTTGACTTGGCCATGATTTCCCCAAGAAATCATAATTACTGCTGACATGGACTTCAAAGGATAAGCTTTGCTTCTGATAGAGCAAAGCTGTACACTAAAGGCACTGTCATTAGACCAAAGGCTCTTTTGCAGTGTGGATTGCAGGTTATGGAGATTGCAGTCTTCCAAAACAGATTTTGTACACATTTGGGTCCTGTTTTCTGATAGCGGGCAAACCTGCTGACCTCAGTAGAAATGGGCAAGAGCAAAGTGAAGAGGCCCAGCACCATGGGACTAATTTGCATGTCTTATTCCTATTGCCCTTGAGAACTTTGCTGAAGCTCAATGGAGTTTCTAGGCCTTCTCTAGCCAGCAGTGGATACAGCTGATATCAAGAAGCTTAAGTGAAGTTCTCCTCATTGGTATTTGAGCCTTGGTGTCATGCCTTTCAGCCTTATATTTCTGAAACCCAACCTTGAGAGGCTAGACTTCTTCGACCTGATGTGGATTGTGGGGATCGCAGACTTTGTACTCAAGTACCTCACCATCGCATTGAAATGCCTAATTGTTGCCCTGCCTAAGATCATCCTAGCTGTCAAGTCAAAGGTAAGAGTCTCTTTTCTTCTTGATATACAGATGTGTGTCTTTGATAATCTGATACCTTTACAACATGTTTGCAGCATGAAATATGGGTAGAAGACAAAAAATAATTAAATCTTTGATGAAACTTTGGCAGAAAGTCACACAAGTAGTGAATTTTGGTTTTTGAACCATTGCAGACCTGAGCAAGGGTTTGGTAGTACCAGCAAGTAATTAAAGTCCAGAGAGAGAAAGGTAAGCATTGCTTGAGAAGGAATAGGTACTAGCAGCAAGATAACTGCTTTTCTGGTTGACTTTGTTCTAAGTCTTGTTTTCTGAGTTATCTCTGTAAATAGATATTTCTGAAGCACAAATCTTTTCATTTAATGGAAAGAAATTGCAAGTACTTGTCTCTTCAGCTTTCCGCTTGGATCAAAGAAGTAACAGTATTAAATTAAAGCTACTGATGCCAGAAGAGACAGTGCCAGTTCTAACCATGGGTAAAGAAATATTTTACTTTAATGTGTACAAAATCATATGTAGACTAGGCCTAACTTTTGAAACTTTCTGACTACATTCTCTCTCTTGAAACACCTTTTCATATTTTTTTATTCTTATAGATCTGTCATGCTCCCTCTTCCTCCACTTAGTAGCATCTACATTTCAGTGGCACATGTAGCAATGTGTATTATTTGCATTTGGTGAAGAAACTTTCTGGCAGCTGTTAGGATGAAAGGCACTATGTAGATGCAAGATATTATCATTAACTGCTGAAAGTCTCAGGCAGGGCACTTAAGGGGATACCTAAACTGGGAATAGTTTTGCTTACAAATGACATGGGTGGCAGGGGAGTTGAGCAGTTTGTTCCTGCACAGCAGGGCTATTCGAGTTGGTTATTAATTTATTTCTGGCAATTCTCCAGCTCTTTTTTTTCTTCTATTATTATTATTTTATTTTGGGAGATTAATGTGCTAGGTCAGAGCATAATCCAGCCTGGGGAGGGAGGGAAAAGTGATGTGAATAGTCTTCCCAAGATAAATTGCAGTGTTGGAAAAGGTTCACAGCCTTTGCTTGCTTGTCTGAGAGCTATCCCAAGTACTCATTAATCCTTGTCGGGAGAGAAGAAAGAGAAGGGGTCTTTATTTGCAGCTACAGTGGGAGGCTGGTAAGATCACATCTGTCAAGGGCCTATAATGACTCAGAGCACAGATGCTTCATTTTTAATACCTTTTTCTGGATAGCAATATTTCTCACTTTTTTTAAGTCCCTTTTTGTCTTAGGATGTTGTTGATGGTCTCACTGTCCCTTGACATCCGAGTCTGCTGTTACCTACCACTATGGATCTGGATTTATTTTTATCCCTCTCTCTACAATGCATCCATTAAGCCAACCAGCGATGAGATCTGGTGTAACAAATTAAGCAAGATCAGACTGGGATGGGAAAGCTCCAAGAGAACCCCAGGATGCCATAGAAATTGTAATTGGTAACCACATAGCTGAGCTCTTTCCCTGAACCTGGTGACCCAGCTTACTTCTACAGGCCAGCACAATGCTACACATCTTGTTTTTCAGATGAGTTTTTAAGTGTAAGCTTTTTTTCCTGAGTTAGGACTGTTCTATTGTATTTTAGGCACATTAACTTTGACCAAATTCTTATCAAGTTATTTGCTATTGGCTATCTTAATACTTGCCAGATACAAAGTTATTCTCTTCCTCCCCATGTGCTGGTAGTAGTGTTTCTGCTTGTAGTTTATGAACTTCTGCACAGTTGTCACTTAGCGGTAGCAGGTAGCAAGCTGCTGGAGAAATATAAATTAAACTCAGAGTAGAGCTGGAAGATTTTTTCAAGACATATATATACTGAGAATTTTTCTGCTGATAGTCAGAAGAGCAGCCTCTAGCTCCCTGTAATACAGGGCCTGAAGTGGAGATTGTGGCACTGTCAGGAATAGAGTTCAGCACACCTGTGAATGGGATAGAGGTATTTAATCATGAGCTTCCTTGCAGTACCTTCTTGCTGGCAGTCAGTAATAGATGAAAAAACTTGCCCATGGATGGAATATCAGGGACTTTGATCATTCTGCATTCAACCTCTGAGCAGGCTTTTCAGATTTTCCTCATTTTGGAAGTTCAAAGGCAGTTCCAAAGCTAGTCTGACTTTTCATGCTGCTCCTTGAGATTCTAGTGTTCTCTGAATACTATGTGGTTTTCAGTGATGCTTGCATAGCCTTTCTAATACAAGGCATCTCCTCCAAATGTCCTTCTTTTAAGTCTCTTACCTCTCCATATCCATTGTGATTGGAGCAAGATCAGATTCTTATCTTTCTTTTACACAAAGTCTTCATATCTCCCATCAATCTTCTCTGTAGACTGAAGAACACTAATTTTTTGAGTCTTTTCCCAGAGATCATTCACTCCATATCTTATTATTCTTTTCTGGACTGTCTTCGGTCCCCCCCTGTTTTCCAGACCATTTCTCCACTCTGATTATAATCCTTCTTTCCAGTGGTTACAGCCTTTGCCAGTTTAGTGTCGACTGCACATTTGATAAGCCTACTCTGTTCCATCAAGATCATTAATGAAAATTAGTGAATAGTACTAAAATCTGCTTACGTCAGTTCGATGCATTTTTTCATTTTGATAGTGAACACAGTAAAAATTTGGGCTACAGCACTCAGTTCTCCCAATCTAAAGTATCCACATCATGTGTTCCTAGTATGGCCCCATCACAGGAAGGGCAACATTTGGTTTAAGGTGACGTCAAGAACCATCTTGGATTTATAGCATCAGTTTATGCTTTAACTGAGAAAAAGCAAACTAAAATGAAAAGGCAGAAAAGGAAGTTTTTCTCTGCAATCAGAATACAGAGGGCAGTAAACATGATCATGAGCACTTGAAGTGTGAAGCATGAGGACTGCTATATTATGAGCATACAACTAGCCAGAGTTCTCCAAGCTTGAATAACTCAGAAATAGAATATCTCTGCAAGCAACCCCTCCAAAGAATGAGGAAAGATTGAAAATGTCACAAAATAATCCCAGACTTTCCCAGGTTCCAAACCAGCCCAGAAAACAGAGGTGCCAAGAGAGGCTGTGAGACTACAATCAGGCTGGAAGGCAGGGAAAGAAAAGTTTGTGAGTAGGAGAGAAAAGCAGAAAAAGGAAGGTAAGCCCAACATCAGACTCCAATCTTACACCTCTACAATCAGTGGGAGTTTGTGGGAGAGGGAGCATACCTGTAGCTAAAGATGTCCCTTCCTCCTCCATGAGCTGTGATGGGCACATCAAGCTGAGTACAAGTTTTAATAGCAGCTGGGCTCATAATTTCTTTGCAAGGGGGGCTTGGCTCCCACCCTGCATGCTGAAGGCTCTCCATTAAAAAAGGCAAATAAGATCATTTGGTTCAATATAAAATGAATTAAAGTAAATTAAACTGCAGGAGCCATGTGGCCTGCAGAGGCCTCCATTGTTGTACACACATAAATGGCAGCTTTTCATTTTCACTGCTAAGGAATGACAGCTTGAGGGGGGTGGAATTAAAAATAAGGAAATAAATAATAAAAAGACACAGTTGCCAAAGATTTCCTTTAGGAAATCCCAGGTGCCTGCAAGTCTCCCATCCCCTCCTCATGCTGTTGTCAGCAATCTAAGCTGGTGTCCTAGAGAACAGTGTGAAGCATGGGGAGGAAGGGGGAGAAAGAAAACAAAACCAAGAGAACTGTAAGAAACTGGTATCCCAGGTTCTTTTATATATCCCTATAGAGGAGAAAGATACCAAAGACACACTTTTTTCCAATGGTCTTAATGGCTGGTATATAAGAAAGGCCCTAGGTAAGAATTTTCTTTACCTGCTCAATACAGATGTGCAGCCAAGTTACAAAGGGTTGCATTTTCACAAGACTGAAAATTCAGAAGGAAAACACATTTGTGTGTTGAAAACACAGCATGAAATTACTGTTGAATAAATACCTGTCAGTTTTGTTTGAAAGCTGGATCTAGACATTGTAAATGTTTTTTTTTGTGGCAAGACTGGCATTACTCATGTGACATTTTTTTCTTTACACTGTTTAAATGGTGTCAGTGGCAAATGTACAAATACTAGTCCATGCTAGCAGTGTGGATTCCTCACTGCATCTTTGAAAATATTTGCTTGGTAGGTTTTTTTGTTGATTTTTTTGGTGTCTTTTTTTTTTTAAAGTACCATCTCATCAAATCTGGTTGGAGAAAACTTGGCCTGTATGTGGCAGCCATTCTTTACGTAGTTTTGCACTTGGATTTTGGACCAGATACCTTTTTCAGGTGCATACCATGTTTCGTAGGATAGATGGTTACAGCTCTGCCATGTAAACTGGCACACTAAGCTTTCCATATTCCTTCTGAAGCTGCACCTTGCACATGAAAGAAATATCAGAATGTCTTTTGCACAAAGTAGTATGATTTGGATCATTCAACTATCTAAAGGCAATGTATTACAGTGTCAGCTCATCTGCGATAACTGTGTATTCTATGAGTCTGAAGCTAGTGAGACTTGACTGAGTAGCCCCGGTGCTCTTCCATGTTCTAATGGAGCACAAGCATATCCACAGTTACTTTGGTGATCACGTCACCACATGTTTCTGTCTCTCTGCACAGCCATATATAATTAAACAGTTATTGTAAGGAAAATAAGCACTCACCTTATAGTGATTAGAATTGTTCTGCAGCCTGCCTCCATCTTGTGTCAGAGCTCAGCTCCATGGGATACCATGGTGCAAAAGCCTGGTGCCCAGCCTTTCTCACTGGGCAGACTGACCCTTCCTCCATCACATGACTAGTTGCACAAATGACTTGCGTGTGCAGAAGTTTTATGCTCCTTGAGCAACAAGCTCTTCTTGCACTAGGCATTCATGTAGAACAACCCATGACAGAGCAAAGTCCATCTTTTTGCATTGAGGGAAAGAGGGCAAGTTGGAGCAGTTTGCTGCTGCCAAAGCATTTTCTCTAGGCCACAGCCTCTTCCAGAAGGCTCACATTAGGACAGAAGGTGCC